GTCCGCATTGCTCGTAAACTCCGAGCAGCCGCACCTCTTTTGTGCTTTTCGGCAAGAACTTGAAGTCTTTCTGCTTCATCATTCCAAAGCTAAAGAGAGGGGGAGCAGAACATACACATAAAATAGGTGAGACCTAAAATAGGGAAGAGAAGCAAGCACAAGTTCTTCATCAAACCTCATGGCTAAAACGATATAGGTTAAATTACAAAGGTAGTCCCAACAGTTTTAAGTTTGCGTTTAGGTCTCTGAAGTTTAAAAAAATGTCTTCTAAATCCTAAACTTAAATTTTGTGTCTAATAGATTTCTAAACTTTTAAGCTGTCCAAAACTTATAAAATTTTCCGAGAGATCCTTAAACTTTCACTTTTGTGTACGACCCCCTTTCCTCCCCCACAAAATTTCAGGAACCTATTCAATGATTTTAAATTTCAGGGATCTATTAGACACAAGCCTAAAAGTTTAAGAACTAAATTACTTGATATCTCAATAAATTCCACCAAAATCCAATGAAATGTATCTAATTGGATATGAAACTCACCTGCAAACTTCATTAGGTCACATTTGTCGTTTATCAACCAGACCTGACTAATACTAACTTTAATGATTTCATGTTTGTAGAGCTAGCCCTTTCATATAAATTTGGAAATGTTGGAACACTCACTCATTCCATACTTGAGATTTGAGAATGTAAGACACAGTAACATTGTTACTAATTTCATAGTTACATACACTTCAACAATGGCACAGTTGACAAAATCAATTTGAATTAAAGTTTTCATCCATGGGTCAAATCCTCCTATCCCACATGCTTTGTATGAAAATGATTTTAAATACAATGAGAACTTACCTGTCTAAAAGTTCTTAGTTTATATAGATTTCGACCCTTCACGAGCAGAGGATAAAGTGGGGGTAATTTCCTAACTCCCCTGCTCCATAAAACTTCGACCTAGCACAGTACAATCCCAAGTAACAGGAAAACATTAGTCACAAAAGAAAATATATATGTAATGAATAGAAAAGCAAAGGAACAAAGAAAGGCAAAATGCATGAGTTCATTTGTTACTCATTGCTACCACTTAAATCATTGTGGTGAATGTTATATATAAATAAATTATCCAATTTAAAAAAAAATGTGGCTGAAAATTCATAACCAATTGGAAGTAGAAATATCGACGAGAAAAAGAATTACTAGACCAGATAAAGCAACCTTACTGTAAAAGTATGCTGCTGTTTGGTTGCACCATAGCTCTCCTTAACTACTCTCCCTGCTACAGTTCTCTTTCCTATAAGCCCTCCATGCCTAGTTACTTTATCAAACCTATTAAAAAAATTTACAAGAATTAGGAATCTGGTCAAAAATATCGCACACAAGAATAGTGGTGGAAGGGTAAGTTGTTTGGGTACTTTGCATAAACTTTCTGAGTGAACAAAACAACATCTCCCCTACAAACATCACCTGCATTTAATGTTTCACTTGAATGATTATACCCAGTAAAGGGACCAAAGAAGAGTGAAAATGCTATGACAAATGAACAAAGAGATTACCAGTGCAATTGACAACAAAGGATGACCTTGGATACTGTGCTTCACCATTTTCATCTTTCATCCTGAGAAGAAAAAATTAACAAGCAAAGAAGTTTTACATAATAATGCAACTTTGCAGAGACCCAAAAAGAAAATAGCAAGAACGAATTCATAGCATTACGATCAATTAAACAAGAACTTTGTGGGTAATAAATGTAAACTAAGTACTGAAAGGGGAGGGGAAAAAAAAGGCACAAGCTCAAATTATGTTGCTTCCTTTCAATTTGATATGCTTTGAATGCATAACTTGAAGTTATAGATTTCAAAAACCTTCAAGGGGCAAGGAAAGAGAAACAATCCATAAATGGATGTGAAAATTTCTCAACATACCATTTATCTCAAAAATCTTCAATTTTCCATCTACTGTAGTCTAGAGGATTATAAAGGATATCGACCAACATTGACTGGGACATTTCAATATATAAAAAGAGTTCCATAGAGGTTAATAAACCAACATAGATGATTATCTGGCAGATTACCAACATGAACAAGTACTAACAATTTCAAATATTTCAGCAACCGCACTAGATATAGATAGACGCAATATTGGCGATCTTGATCTTGAGTCTCAGACTCTCAAGATTATGAATCCACGTACCTCCAATGCTCCCTGATTCTTTGAATACAGACGGATTTAGTCCCTGCTATTCTCAACCCATTCTCCCGTAAATAAGCTTTGCAGTCTTTAAGTGTCAATGAATCCAAATTTTTATTCTCTGCGACAGAGCACAATAGAAAACAGGCAAGGATGGATTAAGGCTTATAAATGACTTCTTTGAAAATCAAATTCTTTACTCGTCCTCTGAGAAATCAAATATCATACGAATTAATCAACAAACCTTTAGCAAACTTGAACAGATGGATTCCAATAATGACCGAAAATCATCGTTCCAGTCATCGATTCAGTTTTCTAAATTGACGCTTCTGGAGTGGACTCAAATTCTAATACGATGACGATTGATTAAAGGAATTAGAAGAAACGATCTGACATTACCTTTTAGAAATCGGATAACTCGCTCGGAGAGAACGTCGTCACAATCGTCGTCGCTGCCCTCATTATCGTACTCCTCTTCCGATTCCCCTTCGTCATCGTCTTCTTCATCATACTGCTCATCTGATTCCTCTTCGTCGTCGCCACAGGAGACCTCGTCCTCGTCGTCGTCGTCGTCTGACGACGATGAGATGCAAATGAAACTTCGCTTGTTTCCCCTGTCAGTCATTTCGTTGCGGAAGAACCGTAATTTGGGAAGTTTATCGCCTTCTCCCCTCCGCCATTTCCGACCAACGTAGGAATATCGAATATGGTATAAGAATTATTATGTTTTTTTTGGTTGATAACCAATGGTGTGTGAAAGATTAGGATTATACTGATTGGGGAGTGACATTAATAAAATGTTTTAGTTTTCTTTAATTTATTTTCCATATATATTATGAGGTAAATCTAAACCAACACATGTCTAAGCTCTAATCAAGCCACGTGGATCGAATCAACGAGAATCGAACGAAGGTCGAGCGCACTCGTTTAAAGGGTCGAGTGCACCTAGGCAAATCATACAAGTGATAGTCTATGCTCAAGATGCTGACTCACTCTACTCGAACTGTGATACACTCTAGAGAATCTCCTAGGACGTCGTCGCACCCTCATTTGCAGAGCATGGAGAAATGTAGAATGTTGATGGTCCATACACGACCCACTAGCACGACCTTCTTCCCTCTATATCTCCCCTACACTTTTTCAATCTCTCGCTCCTTCCACATATAAAGTGGGGAGAAATGTTGATGAAAGTAAGCTACATGTGTCTACACAACAACTTGGGAGAATTTAGCACACACCCTCAATTTGACTCTTTTTTTTTTAGATTACTTGCTTCATACACTTCTCTACTTTACTTACTACATGTTTGCTCTCATCTAGAGTTTTAACTTAAGTATCGGAGTGCATTCAAGAGCACCACACTGGTGTTAAATTTCTGCGTGCAGGTAAGCCAGAGCTAGGATACGAAGATCTACGTGACGCTTCCCAAAAAATTTGACATCAACAATATATAGATATCAATTTCTACCTTAAACTTTGAAGTTGAATCAATTAAAACTATAAACTAATAATTGCATCAATTAAAATCCTGAACTTTTGATTTAAAAATCGTTAATGCATAATTCTCATATGTGTAGACCTAATGAAATATTAGAAGTAAATGTTTAAATCCAGTAGGTTGCAGTGGCTTCCATCGAAAGAAAAATATAGTAAGAAGAGAAGATGAAAAACCAACCATTTTGATGAAAGCCGCTAACACCCACTTTATTTTAGCATTTCCTTCTAACACGTGCGAGAATTGTGTATTAAGTGTTTTCAAAAGAAACTCTATTATAAAAGATATAAGTTGACTATGTTAATATAATAAAAAAAATTATTGATTTAATCGGTAAAGTTTAAGATTTTAATTGATTCACTCAATAAATTTTAGAGGTGTAAATTAATTCACGTGAGGTTGAGATTATGAAATTTAATAAATTCCAAAACATTATAATTAAATAAATAAAATTTAGTCACAAGATAGAATGATAATCAAATACTTCGTGAATCGTCTAATATTTACTTTGTTTTGTAATTAAATCTTACTCCGTAATAGTATTTATTCAAGAATGGGAACAACTTTTTTTTTTTTTGCGCTTATAAAGGAAGTATTTGACTTAAAAACAAACTCAACCTATACTCATATTTTTCCCTCGTGAGATCCAGTAAATCTCCTACGGTAATATTAAGTTTTCAGCACTTTATTCAATCATATATTTAAAATAATAAGCTTATTGAGAAAAAGAAAATATTATAGTCAGGTAAATTAAAGGATATGCAACCTCAAATTCAAAATCTTTAGTCGCAGTGAAACTATTTTTCTCTCCCTGCAAATTCAAAGAAAAAGTCCTTTTTTTTGTATAACAAAGATGATCTTATTCTTGTCCATTAATATATCATACAAAAACAAAAAGTATATTTCATATATTATAATAAACCATTTGCCATAATTATAAATCTTA